GAGAGAGAGAGAGAGAGAGAGAGAGAGAGAGAGAGAGAGAGAGAGAGAGAGAGAGAGAGAGAGAGAGAGAGAGAGAGAGAGAGAGACAGAGAGGGGCATGGATGACAAACCAGTCCAGCAGCAGCAGCAGGTGGGCTGATGTCAACAAGAAACTACACAGAATCATCTTCAGTGCAAAATCGATGGGACTGATAAACCCAAAGAGACAGAACTGTCCTACATTTAATGCCAGAGCCTCTCCAATCCTGACAGCATGACAGACGGGGAGTCAAACAAAGCTATTTTGGGGTCCACATTCACCAGATACTCATCAGAGACCCTTTCATCATGACAACGGTGATTAACAGACAAACAGACCTTGCTTGGATTGGATTTTGTTCAAGTTCTTTTGTCCTTTGACAGGTCAGTAGACTCATCTCCTTTGTTCCCCATGCATGTATAGACTGTGGAGTGACTCTTGCCTGCCCTGCCTGTTTGATGTCATTTGCATGCATGGCTTGATTTTGTGATGTTCAACATTACCAATGGCATGGAGCTCGTCAGAGTGTGATCATGAAGGGTTGGATGTTGTATGCATGAGAAAGCAAAATGTTCCCCATTGTGGTTATGGTTGTGTGGTACAAGGATATTATTGAGAAGACATCGACTGTCTTGATCAGCTGTCTGGTTGGTAGAAATGGCCTGAAAGGACTAAGGGGTGTATATCAATGTCTGGTTGATAGAAGTTACCTGAAAGAACTGAGGGGTGTACATCAACGATTCAATGTGTTCGCTTGATTGTAATGAAAGGACTAAGCGGCATACATCAACCATTCAATGCGTTTGCATCATACTTGCAAGTGGACGCAGTCCGGGCGGTTCTGCACGTGCGGCAGACCGCCGGACTGGACCCTCGCAGCGCACGAATGTGCGCCCGACGACCAGTCACGCCCCACCCCCCCCCCCCCCAAAAAAAAAATGCCCCTGTCCGGTCCGGCCCGGGTCCGGCCGGTCCGGGGGGAGGGTGCCGCACGCGGCAAAGCGGACCGGACCGGACGCTCATCCGGTCCGTCTGCTTCCAAGTATGTTTTGCATCATTATACGATTATTCCATGTGTTTCTTATCAGAGCGCATGTCTTTTCAAGGTGGATGTTCTGGGAGAGATGGTCAGTGAGAATCCTGGGCACATTCTTCAAACACGTGGGGTTGCATCGGTTCTCTAGGCTCAGCTGGCGTTTGAGGGGAAGTGTCGCGTCGGCACGACGGCTTCGGTGTTATGGGGGAAGGTCTCCCGCACCGAAGGCGATCTCCTCTTGTACGTTAGACCGGCTGCACCACTAGTAGGCATCCTCAATTGATGACGGAGTAGGGTAGGGGGAGTCCCGTGTGTGTATGGAAACTCTCAACAGTCCTGCTAGATCCTGTCCGTTCAGTACCCATGGGAGGCTGTGCAGGACGTGCAGTTAGGAGTTCATTAAAAATCATACGAACACAAGATTTCGAGTTTTAATCTATATTTGTGGAGTTGATTATCCTTCTCGAAAAGATAGATTTGAAGTGGTGTATAACTTACTGAGTATTCAATATAACTCACGTCTTCGTGTACATACACGTGTAGATGGAATAACTCCCATCTGTTCAGTAGTCAAAACATTTCTGGCAGCTGGTTGGTGGGAACGAGAAGCATGGGATATGTTTGGTGTGTATTTTTCCAACCATCCTGAAAACGCCAATTTTTGCAGCGCCTGGAGGGGGCAGGAACTGACAGGGGAAATTTCTTGGCTGACATCGGTACTGCCCCTCGTGGTGGACCTGCTGCCAGCAGCTGGAACGAAACGCGGCAGTCATTTTCTTGTTTTCACTCGTGTTCCACCCCAGGCAAGGCCAGAAGTGCAGTCATATACATTCTGGAAAGAGCTGTGAGAATGCCCTGAAATGAAAGGGGATGAGAGGCAATCGATTGCTCCGAGCCTGTCATGGGGAGCCACACAAGCAAGATTCTTCTTCCTTATAAAAAAAAAAGGAAGAAAAACGGCATACTAAGCTCTGAACGTGATTGTCCTCAGAGTCATCCATGGCGGGCAGATGCATTCTGGAACTGCGAGTGGGAGACTGCCCCCTCAATTGTTCCTTCGCTGGCAGACACTTTATTGTTCCCCGTCTCTAACAGGGAGTCACAACAGAAACAGCGGAGATTCTTCTTCTCTCATTAAAAAAAAAAAAAAAAACAGGAAAATGGCTTACTAAGATCCGAACGTGATTGCGTTCAGATTCATCCATGGTGGGCCATAAGTGCGGTGAGATACATTCTGGAAATTGCCAGCGTGACACTGCCCTGAGACTCTTCTTTGCTGGCAGGCACTTGATTGCTCCCCGTCTCTCACAGGGAGTCATATCACTAACACAGCCGAGATTCATATTTCTTGTAACAGAAAAATGGGCATCCTGCGCATGTCTTTGTTTCATGAAACACATGTAGGTGGTTAAAAGGTTCATAGGGGCTATAAACATGGTTTAGAGGGGTTCAGAGGGGGGTCCTTAAATTACTTTGATGGATTTTTTATTTATTTTTTTACCCATTTCCCAATTTTATGAGTGCCATCCTTGTGCAGGGGCCGTGCTAATCTTTTGTGTATCGTTCCTATATTCCGAAGAACTCGTTGAATAATTATTTCATGTTCCATTTCTGTTAAGAATTTTGAGATGACACTCACCTAAAAGTTCTTCGTAATGAAGTCGTCTACAACATGCTTATTTTTCAGATTTCTTTTTTTTTTGTTTTCAAAGAAAAATACTAAAATACTAAAATACTAAAATAGTAAAATAAAATACCATATGTTGTTCTGGGGCCAGATCATCTCTATCCCGATTCACATGGGCAAGGTATCAGGCCAGATGGGCCTGAAACAAAAAGCCAGCCCAGATATTCGGCTATCCTGCCGAGAAGTAAAACAAAGCAAATCAACCTACACCAAGTGGTCATACACGAAACTTCCATCCCAATGATAAAGGTACGCATCTACACTGATGATGAGGATGATGATGGAGATCGTTATGGAGAAAGACATACTAGTAATTTAGTAGTCGTAGAAGAAGAAGAATAAGAAGAAGAAGAAATCGCTGGTCACACATGAAATTTCCGAACCTGAATGACATTTGTGACGATGATGGTGATGATGACAATGCACATTACGATGATGATTGATTATGATGGTGAAGAAGAAGAAGAGCATGATGATGGAAGAAAAAAATAGCCTAAACCCTAAACAAGCCACGAGATTCCAAAAAATAGCAAAGCTGGGGTTTTATCCTTGACAAGAAGAACAAAGTTGGCCACCCAGGACCCCTGGCCGTCACCCCTTTCCACCCCAGGTCCCACAAAAAATCAATGCAGGGGGCTGACCACCGGACAACTGGTCAGCGCTGACTAGTGGTTCCATCAGAAGGGGGAGGGGCGAGGTGCTCCTCTGGCGCACCCCCTTACACCCCTTATACCCCCCTACCCTTTCCCCTCAACACAAAACACTCGAGAACGAAAACGACGCTGGATTCGGGCTAATCTTGGTGGGTTCAGAAACACCTAAGTTAAACCATCAACGCGGAAAATTAAGCCACCTTTTTCACCTGCCCGGGTGACCCGGGCCACCGGGCGGGTTGGCCAGATGTGCAGCCAGGCGAGGGTGGGGAAAGCAACCAAAAACTCCCAGCAAAGCAACACTCAGATGGCTCACACAGGGTCAGCACCGACTCATAAGCGGTTAACAGGGACCCCCACTTTTCGGCCCTGGTTAACCCCTTCAACCCTGAAAATCCCAGCCTGGCAGACCCCCTCTTCTTATCTCTGATACTGCCACTAACTTCAGCCGGTGAGGAAGCACCACACACCCATAAAGTACTGCCTACTGCCAGTTATGTGATGACCAGCGTCAGATGTAGTGGATCCCTAGCCGAGTAGTAAAGTGCCACTGAAGTAGATGCAGGCTGGAACAACGCGGTAATAAGCACGCAGGAGAAAATATCATCTGCCTGCTGAGGTAATGTGTCTTGGCATCAGCCAGAGACCTGACGAAGTGTACAAAACACATCCATGGTCCCGACTCCCGACAACAACGCACAGGGAGATGGGAAGGATGGGCAATGGAGCAGAGAAGTAACAGAGAGCGTACGGGTTGAGACAGTCACTATAGCCGCTGCGCAAGCAGGGAAAGGAAAAAGGAGAGCATATGGGTTGAGACAGTCCCCACAGTCATTTGGCACTATCACAAGGGTTCCCATTTACCCTGGCAGGTCGGTTGGACCCCTGCCTGAGGGTGACAGCAGAAAAACCTAAAAGAGTCACTTAAAGGCCTCTAAATGTTTCCCCCAGCTCGTGTGCAGCTAGACTAATGTCTAGGAACTAGCCATAAGTTCCCATAACATATAACCTTGCAACTTACAAGCCAATACACCAGCTTCTTTTTATTCCTTTTTTGTTTCAAAAGGGATATACCTAACCTTATATTTATTGTATTGAATCTATTGATGATACACTATCAAGATTCCAACTCATGGTCTGGTTATCAACGCTTATCTGTGTATATTATTTAGCCACTGGTGGTTTGCACAAAACAGCCCTGATGCATGCATGACTCCCAGCTAATCCTCCATGGCGTCCACAAACGTTCTAAACTCCTGACCAGAGTATTGTTTTCTCTCATTGCCCACCTACCCCTCTGTGGACTAGCTTCCCATGCTGCCATGCTAGGCATGCTGTCCCACACTGTCATGGTAAACCACCAGTACATGGGCCCAACCAAGTTGAAAATCCGATTGAGCCCCTCCTAAAATTTCAGAGGCCCGGGACAGGGTGTCCCAAGGGCCAGTAGAG